AAAAAAAAAAAAAAGGCTCAGGAGTTTGAGCCTCAGTTTATTTTGTATCTGTACAGATTTGCCTGTTCTGCACCTTTAATATAAATGAAGTCACACCATATGTAACCTTTTCTGTCTAGTGTCTTTTCACTTAGCATAATGTTTCCATCCAGTATTACAGTGTGTATCAGTGCTTCATTCCTTTTTATGGCCAAATAATATTCTGTTATATGGATATTCTACATTTTGCTTACTCATTCATTGGTTGGTCAATATTTGTGTTGTTTCCACCTTGTGGCTGTTGTGAATAGTGCTGCTGTCCACATGGGTCTATATGTATTTGTTGAATACCCATTTTCAGTTCTTTGGGATATATACCTAGGAGTGGAATGCTAGTTCATATAGTAATTCTGTGCGTAATTTTTTGAGGAATTAAGAGTCTTTTGAGTATTGTTGCTCATTTTTCCAAGCGATTTTAGAATCACCTTATCTAATTCTATAAAAATTAAAATTGTGTTGGTATTTTTACTAGTATTATATTACATTTATAAATTAACTGGTAGTTTGAAACTAGTTTGATCAACTTAGCAAGATCCTGTCTCTACAGAAAAAATGAAACATTAGTCATGGTAGTGTAAGACTATAGTCCCAGTGACTTGGAAGGCTGAGGCAAGAGAATTGCTTAAGCCCAGGCATTTGAGGCTACAGTGAGCTACGATTGCACCCCTGCACTCTATCCCAGGTGACTAAGTAAGAGACTGTCTCTAAAAAAATATTCTAACAATTTTAATTTGGATTGTGCGCAGTGGCTCACGCTTCTAATCCTTATTAACACTTTGGGAGGCCGACGAACAAGGATCACTTGAGCACAGGAGTTCAAGACCAGCCTGAGCAAGAGTGAGACCTCATCTCTACTAAAAATATAAAAATATCGGGATGTGTGGCTTAGCGCCTGTAGCTCAGCAGTTATGGCACCTGCCACGTGCACTAGGGCTGGTGGGTTCGAACCCAACCTGAGCCTGCTAAACAAACAAAGAAAAAGTAGTTGGGCCTTGTGGAGGGTGCCTGAAATCTGCACAAGGGAAGCTGAGGCAAGAGAATTGCTTGAGCCCAAGAGCTTGAGGTTGCTGTGAGCTGTGATGCCATGGCACTCTACCGAGGTGACAAAGTGAAACTCTGTCTCTTAAAAAAAAAAAAATCTGGGTGTGGTGGCAGGCACCTGTAGTTCTGGCTACTCAAAAGGCTGAGATAGGAGGATTGCTTGAACCCAGGAGTCTGAGCCTGCAGTGAGCTATGATTGCACCTCTGCACTCTAGCCCAGGGGACAGAATGAGACACTTGTCTCTAAAAAAATATTTTTAAATGTTTAACTTAAAAAAAATAGCAAAATAAAAATACCAGGTACTTTTCATGCATTCCTTCCTCTTTGGCTGTTGGGAGGATCCAGGATTGTATACACAAGACCGGTAACCTGGACACCATTATTATTACCCTCATTTTTCGCTTGAGGAAACTAAGGCTGTGACAGGTTACCCAAGGCCACAGTGTTGAATCCTCTTCTCCAAGGTGAGTTACCTAGAGAGACAGCTGGTATGAGAAAGAACTTGGACCACGGAGGCCCAGGGTGGCCCTGTTTTAGAGTTCTTGGAAGAAGGCCACACCCTTGCCTGCTGGCCCGTTACTATTGGCCCTGGAGCATGGATGCTTCTCATGTCTCCCCTTCTCCCCTAGGCCTGCAGGACAAGCTGAACAAGAGGGACAAAGAGGTGACAGCCTTGACATCCCAGACCGAGATGCTCAGGGCCCAAGTAAGTGGTAAGTCTCCTCCCGCAGGGCAGATGCGGGGGCCTCACTGGGGCTGTGTGATCCAGTGTGCTGGCCAGTGTGGAGGGGATTAGCACAGGGTACCCTCCCCAGCCCTGCTGTGAGAAGGAAGCAACCTGGGCAAGGTCACCTGTGCCATACACCTGGGCAGCAGTGAGTGGAAGAGCAGTCCCCTGCCACAGTCTATCATATATAATCAGGGCTCATGGCTGGCTTGTCCCACCAGCGCCACCTGTACGTCCTCCGTGTCCTGAAATTCCATCTTGCTGGTCTTGATGACTTTTGGTTTCTTATAGGGTACTGATACCACCTCCCCCCAGCTCCTAAAAGAAATGCTGGGGCCTGATTTCAGAATTGGGGGAAAGCTTTTGGCCACAGCCAAAAGTAAAAATCAAGAGGGGAGCCTGGGGAGAAGCAGGGGTCTAGACTTGTAGTTTTGTGACAAGAACGCCAACGATGGTGTTCATGAGACAGCCCCTCCTGGGACATGAGCCCCCGCTCCCTCTTCCTTCCAGTCCCCTTTGCATTCCACATGGCATAATTGGTCCTGACAAAGGTCATTGGACCTCACACTCCTCTAAGGCCAGGGTGGACCTGCAGCTTTTCCTTGTCTAAACAGAAGTGTAAATACGGTGTCCTCTAGGAAGGGGGCCTACCCCACACCAGAGGGCCTTCTGCTGTGCAGGGAGGGGCTTCCTCTGCTTTTCCTAGCTGTTTTCTCAGGCCCCTTGCGACCTGCCTATGAAGGAGACAGAGACCCATGAAGCTTTTAAAACCACACATTCCCCAGAAAAATCAGTGTCCTGCTGGGGCCTTGGCCCCCATTTGGGTCAGATTCCCAAATGTTCCTAACCCTCTTCCTCCTGTCCGCACCTGCCCATCCCAGCACTGGAGAGCAAGTGCAAGTCGGGAGAGAAGAAGGTGGATGCCCTCCTGAAGGAGAAGCGGCGTCTGGAAGCTGAGCTAGAGGCTGTGTCCCGGAAGACCCATGACGCCTCGGGCCAGCTGGTCCTCCTCAGCCAGGAGCTGCTGCGAAAGGAGCGGTGAGTCAGGCGTGGAACAGCCTGGCCCTTCTTCCCTGTGACCTCTGCCTTTATTCTCCAGGGGCAGAGGGGACAGACCTGGTAGTCCAGGTAGCTGGTCCTTTGCTCAGCTCCACAGAAGCTTCCAAAGCCCCAGCATGATACTCGGGTTTCTCTTCAAATCACATAAATCTTTCGCCTTTTACCAAAGCCCCAGGATGGTTCTCTTAGCCAAGCTCATAGGAAAGATTAATGCTCTCCAGACTATTTGGTTTCAGGTACCCCTTTAAACTCTTAAAAATTATTGAGGATCCTCAAAGAGTTTCTGTTTGTTTATTCTACATTTACCATATTAGAAATTAAAATTGGCACTCTGGGAGGCCTAGGTGGGAGGTTACGAGTTCAAGACCAGCCTGAACAAGAGTGAGACCACATTTCTACTAAAAATAGAAAATTAACCAGGCGTTGTGGTGGTGCCTATAGTCCTAGCTACTCAGGAGGCTGAGGCAGGAGGATGGCTTGAGCTCAGGAGTTTGAGGTTGCAGTGAGCTATCGTGATGCACTTTCATTCTAACCAGGACAACAGTGAGACTCTTAACTCCCCTCAAAAAGAAGGAAAGAAATTAAAATAGAAAAATTTAATCCATTTAAAAATAACAAGCCAGTTACATGTAATATAAATAACATGCTTTTGATCAAAAGTAACTGTTTCCCAAAACACAAACTATTTTATAGAAAGAGTGGCATTGTTTCACATTTTCACTAATTTGAATGCGGTACCTAATAGGAGAAAGCTGGATTCTTGTGTCTCCTGCAGTGTTTGTGAGTTGTTTTGATTGAAGCATATTAGGAATATCTCACCTTAGGTGAGCTGAGCAGAGGACCAGCCACCTAGACCACCAGATACATAGTTAGAAAAGGAAGGAGTATTTTAATCTCTTTTTCAGATAATTATTAGTATATTGTGTAGCTCCAGGAAAGAATTGTATACTCAAGGGAAAGACAATAAAAATAATTTTATTGGCTCGGTACCTGTGGCTCAAGCAGCTAAGGCACCAGCCACATACACCTGAGCTGGTGGGTTCGAATCCAGCCCGGACCCGCCAAACAACAATGATGGCTGCAACCCAAAGGTAGCTGGGTGTTGTGGCAGGGGCCTGTAGTCCCAGCTACTTAGGAAGTGGAGGCAGGAGAATTGCTTGAGCCCAGGAGTTGGAGGTTGCTATGAGCTGTGATGCCACAGCACTCTACCCAGGGTGACAGCTTGAGGCTCTATCTCAAAAAAAGAAAAATGTTTTATTATTATTGTTAATTCTTATGATGATGACAATAGTTTTGAACCAGGGACCCCTGAAAAAGTCTTGGGAACCTGTGGAGTTCCTAGACCACGTTTTGAGAACCATTGGACTAACTGTAGCCCATAGATGTGGTTTGTAGGATCTGTATGAGGGTTTTTTTTTTTTTTTTCTAGGCCGGGGCTGGGTTTGAACCTGCCACCTCGGCATATGGGACTGGCAGCCTACCTTTTAGAGCCACAGGTGCTGCCCGGATCTGTATGAGGGTTACAGGAATGAGACTAGCATGTAAAAGGCTGAAAATGGGGCGGTGCCTGTGGCTCAAAGGAGTAGGATGCCAGCCCCAAATGCCAGAGGTGGTGGGTTCAAACCCAGCCCCAGCCAAAAATTGCCAAAAATAAAAAGGCTGAAAATGTCACATAAAATCAAGATTATCATCAGATTCCCGTAAAAAACTGGAAGACCTGACAACACTGGGCTGACTTCTAGCATAGGAGCCACCAGCCATTTGCCCCTACCCCTCTGATGGGGGCCCTCTGGGTCTCCCCAGTCCCTCATTTCTCCTTCATACACATTGTCACCAGCCCTGTAAGTTTTGTGTTTCTGGCCCTGAGTTAAATGACTCTCTTTGAAGCATCCTTTTGTGGAGGAAATGCTATCTCCTCCCATGCACTCCCTCCTGAGGAAGGGAGAATACTTCTGCTTCAAATCTAGCACCTTTCTAGAAGATGTGGCTCTATTCAAGAAGGGGTTAAACAGATGTAATGAGTCAATTTGGGAATATTCTAGAGCAACATCACCCTCTGCAGACATGCAGCCTGTGCCTTCTCCAGCATGAACAAAACAGCCAGGCCATACTGGTGCCCACTTGCTCCCTGTTCAATCTCCAGCTAAAGTGGAACTTTGATTCTCGATGCTCAGCCCCCTCTCTCCTTCTTCCAGGAGACTTTCTGCACTGTCCTGGCCACAGGGATGCCCCTTCCTCTTGAGTCCCAGTAGAACTCAGTGGAGTTTTTAGTCTTCAGTCAGTTGTCCTGATTTCCCCCCTTATCCTCAGCAACGTTTCCACTTCCCTAGAGCCTGGCCTTGGCCCTGTATCAGCGGACTCGTTCCTTCCTCTGGCTCGCGTCACTCTTGTGATTTCCCACCTTGTGGAATACCTTCTTCTTTTTGGCCATTTTATTCAGTTCAGCCTGTTCTTCCAGGCTTAGCTCACAGTTCACCTCTTCCTTGAAACCTTTCTTTTACAAGGGGCTCCCCCACATTCCCAAGGTGCTGAGGGGTGGGAATGGGGGCTCAGCCAGGAAAGCTTTAGTGACAGTAATGTAATGTCCATCCAACAGCAGATTAAACTAGTGGAGATTTCCTCTCCCCACATAACAGAAATCTGCGGGTAGCGGCGATTGGTGCTTGGTTTGGTGGCTCAGTCTCTCACTACTAACACCTTTGTGGTTCTCCTTGCCTCTCCCTCATGATTACCAGGTAGCAGTTGAAATTCCAGCCATCACATTCATAACC